GATTCCGAGTCTGATCGGGTCTTCCTGGGAGAAGGTCTATTCCTTCGTTGATCGCGAGAGCTTGTCATGGGCTAAGTTGGGACACCCCTGCAGGGTATAATCTTTCGAAAGCCGTGCCTGCGGTTATAGGCAGATGGAAATTTGTTAATGTCCGGTTGTAGATAACTTGACACCAGATCCGAATTAAAACGCATCAACCACGTGTGTAGTCGTGATGGTCTCTTCTCGGCGGAGTCCGGGAAGTGAACACGTTTCTGGGTTATGTTTGACGTAAGTAGGAGTTCAGGATCACTTCTTGATCATTACTAGTTCACGACCGTTCCGCTTGTTCTCTTCTCGCTCTTATTTGCGTATGTTAGCCACCATACTTGCTTAGTCGCTGCTGCAACCTCACCACTCTACCCCTTCCTTTCCCATTAAGCTTTGCTAGTCTTGATACCCATGGTAATGGGATTGCTGAGTCCTCGTGGCTCACAAATTACTACAACAACAGTTGCAGGTACAGGTTTTGCGATGATCATGACGCGAGAGCTATGCTTTCTTGCGTTGAGTTCTTCTTCTGCTTCTTCGATCAGGGATAGGTTCCAGGTCGGCAGCCTGGGCTAGCAGGGTGGATGTCGTTTGAGTTTCTGTTTGTGATTCATCCGTCGGATGATGCTCTGATGTATTGTGATGTTGTATTCGTGTGGCATTGTATGCCTCTTGTATGTATCCCCATCTATTATGTAATGTTGATGTAATGATATCCACCTTGCAAAAGCGTTTCAATATGCGGGTCTATCCTTGGTGGGACCTTCGAGTTCCTTTTGGATAGGATCGCATATTGGGCGTGACATATAAATTGAGTGTAGACTTTTAACTTTGACAATAGACATAACCTGCCTCTTCGAGGTCGTCGGCCAGTGGCAACACTGCATTCTATGACTTTGTCACTCTGTCGTAGGCTTTCTCAAACTCTTGAAGCTAGACGTTGAGAAAGTCTACGCCAAAATGAGCTAGGGCTTCTTAGAGGAAGTTATACACAAGGAAAATCTATGCATCATGTAGTTGGTTTGAGGGGGTAGATGGCCAATAACATTAATGGAGCAGGGCCCTTTTTAGGAGCTCGAGGCGGGAATGTCGGGGTGACCCACTCACTCTCTCCTCTTTCTATACCAAAATGTGGTGCATATTAAATTTTTCCTAAGTCAAAAGTTGTGAAGTTTGACCAACAATATAGATAAATATTTGAATATATACAATACCAAATCAATATCATTAGGTTCATCATAAAAAATCTGGATCTACTCGCGAGGCAGAGAGAATTGGCTACTCGGGGTTTGACCAACCAAAATCATCGTTGGACCAAAATTACCCGGCATTGATAGTTAAGGGCAAAAATTACCAGCTATTTAAAATGGAGTGCGAGTTCATGTGCTACATACCGAACAATAAATTATAATGTTTAAAATATCTAAGGCTTTTTAATGATAGATGATTTCGTCTCTTGTAATTACGTGCAAACTTTCGTTAAGAAATGGTATATGTTTTTACCTAGGCACACAAAAAATCAGTGCACTAAAAGCTTTAGTTTTAGAGCAGGGTTTTTTTGGGGTCACAAAATATGTGGTCTCTTCACGAAAATTTACATGCAATTAGAAGGCGGGAACGTGTTTCTTGTAAAAGAAAAGCTGTTTTGGCTTATTTTTCTCTTTACTACTCCCTCCGATCTAAATTAATTAACGTGAATTTAGTACAACTGTATTAAAGCCGGGTTAATTAATTTGAATCAGAGGAAGTATTTGTTTTGAATTTACTATTCACCCTGTAGCATAGCTGAGAATCGGAACACCTTCCCCAAAAGTTATTCCCCAGAAAGGCGACAAACGAAGTATACACAGCTTAGTTAACAGAGATATACATTTTCTATTAAATAAAATTGGTGAACACATGTTTTAATGGGAGGTATTCTCAAGAAAGATAAAAATATATGGAAGTAATTTATAAATGGAGAAGAATAGTATAAATTAAAGTGTAAAAAGCGAAGAAGAAGAAGAAGAAGAAGAAGAAGACATGGGCTTATTTTATCCACCAGAAAGTAGGATACACTTATGTGCGTGGATGTGTGCAACGTGCGAACTGCTTATCATGACCTTTTGCAACGCTGTCATGTTCCCCAAATCGCCGTGCTAACTTGTTTTCTGGAGTAAATTATACAAGAGCAATTCCATGCGTCGTCGCTGTATGTACATGAAACCGATTCCTTGCACGGTATGGGGTTGCACTCACTCCCTCATCACGCATGATTGCCCGATCCGGTACGGCACGTTCGGCTTCGGCATATATATCGATCCGTTGGTTCGCCCGTCGTGGTCTGATCGACGTGATGGATCGTACGGATCGTCATGAGTCGCTGCAGCTTGATGAAGTTAATGCGTGACCATCGTCCCGGCAACTAGTCCATCATCATGAAACTAATCTGCGTGGCCTGCTGCCACCTTTATCGGCAGGAGACCGGGAAGAAAAATGAAGCGTGTGTTCAACCTCGAGCAACAAAAAATTTTCTTCCCTTATTACGGCCGGGCTGTGTAAAAAGGTGTCTTATTTTGAGCTCCACTGTCCATTGTACTACAAGTAGGGCCCACATTGCTGCAGCCACGTTTTGCAAACCCTTCTCTCGAGTTGCGTCCAAAAGAACCAAAAAAGAACTCTCCTCGAGCTGAGAAGCAACGAATCAGGGGTTAATCAATACGCACTACTGCTCAGTTCAATAGGGTAGACGTTGAGAAATATTAGATGTTTAAGCTGGCGGGAGCGGCCAGATTGTCCTTAGTTGAATAGAGCATCTCCACCCCACAACCCCGATCGGCAGCGGCCCCGTCGTCTCTCCCACGGCGCCACTCACGACCACGTCCATATAAACGCGTGGCACGCACGAGGAAAACCAAATTAACCAACGCGCCCGCGCCCACCAACCAGACCAAACCAAACTAGCCAGCAGCCAGCTCCGGGAAGCAAGAAGACCGACGATGCGGCAGCAGGAGGACCGGGCGCTCCTCCCGACGACGACGGCCGCCGGGAGCGGGGGCGCGGGCCCGGACGCCGCCGCGTCGTCCGGACCGTCGGGGAGCCGGCTGCGGACGGCGGGGCTGGTGGCGGCGTGGTACGCGTCCAACATCGGCGTGCTGCTGCTCAACAAGTACCTCCTCTCCGTCTACGGCTTCCGCTACCCGGTCTTCCTCACCGCCTGCCACATGTCCGCCTCGGCGCTCCTCTCCTCCGCCTTCGCCGCCGCCACCCGCTCGTCCGGCGCCGCGCGCCGGCCGCTCTCGCGCGGGCAGGCGGCCAGGGTGGCCGTGCTCGGCGCCGTCTTCTGCGGCTCCGTCGTCGCCGGCAACGTCTCGCTGCGCTACCTCCCCGTGTCATTCAACCAGGCCGTCGGCGCCACCACGCCCTTCTTCACCGCGCTCATCGCCTACGCCGTCGCGGGCCGCCGCGAGGCCCGCGCCACCTACGCCGCCCTCCTCCCCGTCGTCGCCGGCGTCGTCATCGCCACCGGGGTAACCAAACTAAACTAAACTAAACTAGATCGAGCAGCAAGCTCCGAATGGATCCAAATCTTGATGTGCTCGTGCGCTGACATTGTTGCTTCCATTCAGGGCGAGCCGAGCTTCCACCTCTTCGGGTTCATCATGTGCGTGGGCGCGACGGCGGGGAGGGCGCTCAAGACCGTGCTGCAGGGGATCCTGCTCTCCTCACAAGAGTAATAGTACTCATCATACAGTACTTCATTCATCACGTTGACTTGTAGTAGTACTGAAATTATTCTCCGCGATGGTACATCTGCTGAAAATGGGGCTTGGGATTTGATGGCGTGCAGGGAGAAGCTCAATTCCATGGACCTGCTCCGGTACATGGCGCCGGTGGCCGTGGTGCTGCTGGTGCCGGCGACGCTGATGATGGAGCCTGACGCGCTCGGGGCGGCGGCGGCGCTCGCCCGGGAGGACCCCAGCTTCGTCTGGCTGCTGCTCGGCAACTCCTCGCTGGCCTACCTGGTGAACCTGACCAACTTCCTGGTCACCAAGCACACCAGCCCGCTCACCCTCCAGGTTCGTCCTGCCAAGCATGGTGTTCATGCTCATTGACTGAACTTTTCAGATGAACACACACAAGTTACCTGCTGGCGATGCTCATGCGCCTTGTGCTTGGCCGTTGCAGGTCCTCGGGAACGCGAAAGGGGCAGTCGCCGTCGTGGTCTCCATCCTGATATTCAAGAACCCGGTGACCGTCATGGGGATGCTGGGCTACGGGGTGACCATCGCCGGCGTGGTTCTGTACGGCGAGGCCAAGAAGAGGAGCAAGTGAGCTGCGCCGCCGTGGGGAACAAGCCTCCAAAAGATCTGCTGACCGTCACATTGATCTTTCACCGGAGCTCCGATGTGTTGATCCAAGTTCCGGCAGAGACCTGATGATGGCACGATGAAGACGACCAACCCATTTGTATATCTATTCTTGCTCCAGGTGCAATCTGGGTTCCTCAAGTGTAGGACTTGGTGATGTTAAATCATCACAAGCCGTTAGATCAGATGTATTCATGCTTGTAAATTGTTGTGTAGGCTGCACTACTACATTACAAGTGACGATTGATCAATACTATTGCTAGTCACAGATATATAAGACACCCTGATGAACATTCTATGCCTATTAATAATACGTACTCGGTAGGAGTACTACAAAAAGTAACTGAGAAGGAAATCATATTTATACGCTTTTACTCGCAAATCTGCAATTGGCATACCAGGATCAAGTGCTTTGGACACAACAGAATATCACAGTTCTCAACCATATCCTGCGTTTTTACTACACTCGTAGCACTCTCACTCTTTGAACAGCTAAAAGGAAACAAAAGAAAATGTAGGACAGCCTTTTGTACTAACTTCACTCTTTATGATAACAAGGATGTAATCATAAAACAACCAGCAGCATACGATTAACTCAGTCCCTCTGGCAGAACAAGACACCTAGTCGGTGGCATCGCCAAGAGAAATGGAGGACAGCTTCTGCGCCAACAGGGTCAATGGAGTCGCCTCCCCATTAGATTGTCCTTGAGAAATGGAGGGCGCCTTCTGGGTCAATGGAGTCACGTCCCCATTAGATTGTCCTTGAGAAATGGAGGACGCCTTCTGAGTCAATGGAGTCGCCTCCCCATTAGCTTGTCCTAGAGAAATGGAGGACAGCTTCTGGCTCAGGAGAGTAATTGGAGTCATCTCCCCAATAGCCTGCGCATTTGTGTGTGAGGCCAGGATGCTTCCCTTTACAGGAGTCATATGCTCTTCAGGCTGGATATTTTGATGCGAAGCCAGAATGTTCTCCTTTAGTGGACTCGAATAACCACCAGGCTGGATGTTCTCTTTTGCGGTATCCATGGCTGGAATGTTCTCCTTTGCAATATCCATGGCTGCCTGGGGCATCCAAGCTTCATGCTCAATCACCTCCAATGGTTCTACTTCCATTTTTGCAACTTCAAGAGGCAGTGAAGGTGATGATACCTTAGTTTGAGAAGAAACGCTTTCCTCACAAGGTGCTGCTGTAGTTTCTGATTGTGGCTGACCAGAGGCACCTGATAACAGCTCAACAGTTGATGAACTGATATCGCCATTGGCCTGGACATTCTGATTTAAAGCTGGAATCCCCTCGTCCTCTGCAATGTCCATGGCAACCAATGGGCCAGTCTCCAGCACGTGTGCTTCATGCTCCGACACCTTTGATGTTTCCGCTTCATGGTCAATCACTCCCAATGGTTCTACTTCCATTTTT